ATCTCTTACAACTGTAATATATATAACAATAACTGTGATCTATAACTATAATCTCTTAAAATAAATTCTGCACCCCTTTGAGAGAACTGAGTATGTTTTAACCTGGTTGTCCAATTTGCTTATATCAGTCTGTTAAATCAGATGGATTGCAGTTGTGGTTATCCAACACTTCCGGCTGTGTATACAGGGCCTCTCTCCCTAGGGAACCAAGGCTTAGCTTAGTCTTCTAGCTAAAGAGGAAAATGTGTTGCTTTAGGAATGCAGCATCTACTCCACATACCATTCATTGTGAAATTATGAAATGAAAAACTTGGATGGCTTACCTTTTGGTCATCCTTTACTTTGTTCTTATCCCTTCTGCCAACATCCTTCCTACAAAGCACCTCATTCTTTTCCCCTCTTCTCTCCTATCAAGCTTGCTGTCTGTTTCTCCTTTGACAAGGTTTTTCTCAGAATAAAAGAGTGAAGATTACCTTTGGGTTCAACTGCAAAAATAAAAGCCACTGTGGGATCATGATGTACCACAACAACCGACTTATCAAGTCCTATGAGAAGGTTGGCTGCCAGATGAAGGTGAGTGGTCAATGCTTTCCCTGTGTGCCTCAGAAATGAGGAAGGGGGATGAACATACGGCTTCATGCAAAGTGACCCTTGAATAGAACGTTTCTTCTGGGTTCCCTGGGGTTCCAGAGTTTCTCTAGCCTTTGTGTAGGAGGAATTGAACCTGGAAACGTAGTATCTGAGGCCCTCTCGTGACAAGCAATTTTAGTATGCATAGCTTCGTTTTGATGCTGGCCTAGATTTGATAGCCATTTGCATCAAGGCACATGTGCCCCCTCCCTAGTACAGAAATCAGTGTAGAGTATAGGATTATGTTGCCTTGGTTCCTTTGTTGCAAAGGAGGTGAGAACCATTCTTCCAGAGATGCTAGGTTTTTTTACCATGATAAGCAGAATGTCTGAAACAATTGTTTCCTTCTCTTCTTTTTTGGCTGTTGGTGTAGGGAGATGCTGTGGGAGTAATCGGGGTGATTGAGTGCAACTTTCTTAAACCAGCACACAACAAACAGGACTTTGAAGAAAACAAGGAATACCGGTAAGGGGGCTCTGCAGCTGTTGCATGAGTAGGCTTTAAGTATGAAGTAGCTCTTGGTTGGCTCATCTTCCTTCTCTGATGCCCTTGCCATAAAATGCCTGAAATTTGGAAAGGCCATGGTCTCCTGAGGTGAGAGAGCACAATCTCCATGTTCACCCAGCTCTGGCTTTAGTGCATGTCTTCCTAGAACATAGTCTGTTCTATGTCCGTTTGCTGAACACAGCAAAGCAGTGTTGCCAAAACTATGAGAACCCGAATTTCATCACAGGAAAATTAAGTTCAACTATGTCCCCATTGAGTCTTCTCTTTGCAGTTTCACAGAAGTTTAGGGCTGTAAGGGACCTTGTGAAATCATTGGGTCCAGCCCCCCTGCTCTGGGCAGGAGCAGCAAGCAGGAGCTTGTACTGCCACTCTTTTATGCCCACCCTCTCTCAGTTATGTGTGTAATTGGGCACCCCCATCTTGTTGGTATATGCTACCTTGTAGGAACAAACGTTTTAGAAACGGATGTGAGTGTAGAATCTAGAAGAGGATCAGCAGGGAGTGAGGATGAGCACAGCAGGACCATAAAATTGATTTTTGCTGTGCTGCTAGATGCTGCTCTTAAATTAGTGCAGATATCTACCAGCAGTAATGTTGTATTCACAGAGGCCCCTTATCTCAGCAGGAAGTGAGAGCTCAGAGGTGAGGTATTTGTGGACTTTTTTTTGGTTTAACAGTTTTTAGCTTCCCCTCCCCCTGCCAAACTGTTTGTTAATTCATCAGTCAGACGTATCTTCCTGAGGCACCTTGGGTCTGGGCTGCAGCCAGATTGAGTTGTTCAACCAACACTCAGTGTTATCAATGGAAAGGGTGGATTATGGGTAGAAGGGAGTCCCCTAAGGACTAAGAAAATTAGAGAAGACTGTGTGTCCTCAAATGTTGCTCACAATGTCATGGCAGAACAACAGAAACAGACCTTACTAACTTGGGACAGCTTCAGTGATCTGATCATTGCCGAAATTTGGTTTCTTTCTGGATTGCTCTGCTGGGACAGCCCTCTGATTTTCTCTGATCTTTTGGTTGGTATGATCTAACATTTAATACTCTGACATGCAAAATGAATAGAATTTTTACAGAAGCATCTAGAGCCCTTATTCAGTGTTCAGAAAGGGATCTTTCCTTCATGGGAGAAGGAAAAAGCTACCCGTGGCTGCTCCATTCTCTCCCCTTTGGAACAGGTACCAAAATCCTTCATGCTTGAGTTTGTACCAAATTTGGTACAAGTTCATTGCTGTCCTGAGTCTCAGAGGGTACTTCTAATTGTATATGTTAATCAGTAGCTGGATGGGACATTTCATTAGACCATAAGGGTAAATAACTTTGGCTAAGGGACCCTCTTTGGGTGGTGGGGAAGGAGGAGGAGAAATTCTCCCATATTTTTGATAGGGTTGGCTGGATTAGCTAAACCAGTGAGGGACAGTCTTTTTCATAGGTGTGCCACAAATTAAGCTCTGTACCTTCCTAGAGTAACAATTTGGATCTACCCATGTCAGATCTGCTGCTTTGCTTTGTTTTGCTGGCCCCTTTCCTCAATCTGCTATGTGCCACGCGTAGAGGGTGGCTGTGCCTCTTTTGGCATCTGTGCCATAGGTTGGCCACCCCTGAGCTAAACCTTAGTTTTAAAATGGTGCTACAAAACCACTTGGTAAGGGCTATCATGTATGAGTTGCCATCCTTGGCCCCATTGTGTAAATTCATACTACTGATAAACTTTTGGGGTCATAAATTAGTGACTCCCTATGTATGTCCTGACTACTTGATCCAAGAGGAAGCTTTGATCACCTGGTTCTGAAGGCAAGTGCATTTCTTAGTATACAGGGTGTTCTGTTCCTGTGAAAGGTTCATAGACAGCTTGAAGCAGCAAACTGCTGACCCAAGGGATCTTGAGTTTAGGAGTCTTATGTACTGTAAACACTTTGATATGGTTCTGAAGTGTGGGATGAATGATATACCGGGTTAAATCCTGGCACAATATAAGCTGTGTTCTAAAATCCAGGTAAGCCCAACAGTAGCAAGCTTGTCACGTTTTTGGGTCCTCATCATCATGGGATGTGGGTGTCTCTGGCAAGGGTGGCAAAAGACAAAGGCTGGTAGTAAGGGAGGTCTGTTGCTTTACACTTCTTAGCTGTGTTACCTGGTGAGAGAGACAGCAGGATTTGCCTGGGTTTTCACTCTTCTCTTTTTCCCACTAGACGGACAATTACTGCCCTGGGACAGAAACTCAATCTTTACTGGAAAGCGAAGATGGCCCAGATGAACTTGGGAACTTCAGATGCATCCAGCATGATAGCGTGAGGACAAGTCTTACAGTAGTCTAATCTCATAGTGCAGCATTAAGAGCAGTGGGTCTTTCATCTGTAGAGACAGGGGAGAGGGTTTAGTGGGTTGATCTTCACTTTTAATTGGGAGATCTCATGACAGGCCATCCATGTAGTAAGTTTGGTAGTTTCAAACCAGTCCACTGCTTATGGGTGGGGATGGACAGAGCAGGTAATGAAAGGGATGTTCCTGATGAGTGCTCAGGGGAATTGACAGGTATCTGGAGGGTAATGTGGTCTTCCCAGCTAGAATATAAGGTGTCTCAGCAGAACTTTCTGTTGGTGTTCAGGTGCTAATGCTGTCCAGCCTTTCCCAATACACTAGGGATGAAATGCAGCAGGCCCTCAATCCTTTTCTCTCCATCTAGGCCATTTCAGCTGTGTGTCACTTTTTGCAGAGAGAGGCCAGATCAGACATGGGTGCAGTGTGAGGAGTGCTTGAAATGGAGGAAGCTGCCTGACAAAATAGATCAGTCATCGTTACCAGAGAAGTGGTTTTGTTACCTCCATCCCCACCCCAAGTACAAGTAAGGAGCTTGCCTGTTCCAGTCCTTGGGAGACCTTTCTCCCTATCACTCCATACCCTTTGAGTACAAATACATGTCATGCCCACTTTTGCTGGCTTTCATTCTCCCCCTCATGTGGATGTGCATGTACCTTAAAATGTAGAAGCCCCTCTGGTCAGGTTCATATCTGGACTTCTACACTTTTCCCTTGGAAAATAAAGTTATAGATCTAAAACAAAAAACTCACCTGAAACACAGGTACCTAACTGTGCTAGCTCTCATCTAAGTGCTTTCCTTCTGTCTGCTGCATCCTTTGTATCTCTGGTTATACTTTGAAGCATTGCTTAAGTGCTTACATTGTTTAGTTGTTGCTTGTACCTTCCTTCTCTCCCCACCTTTTGGGCTAGAAAAAGTGGCCTTTTAAATTAAAGCAAGCAACCAGGAGCGATTGGAACGCCTTCAAATATTCTGAGGTAAATTAATAATGAAGTAGCTCAGCTGCTAATAACCATGCCGTCTATTGTTCAACAGTGGTGAAGAGCAGGAGAATTGAAATTGTATCTTACTTTAGCCTTCTTTTATGATGATTATGTGAATTTTATACCATAGAGCTTTGCTTTCCAACTAGGTAAACTGGCTAAAACAGCTATTAGAGAGGTGATATTTTATCACCTTTCTAAGCATAATGTTATTGGACTAGCCAATGGGATTTTACCGAAGGACGCTCCCCTGCAATCTAAAAGAATTCGTGAGCAGAATCAGTTTTAACAAGTGATTCTATCTTACCTAATAACATTTGGATTTCCAGAAAGCATCTGATAAATTCTTCATTGGAGGATATTAAGGAAACTAATTATGAGGTGAGAGGGTAAGTAGGATTGGGGGACTGTTCAATATACTACAAATTTTGTCATCTGGAAGAAAGTTGCTGGTAATATTTATTTCTCCAGTTGACACATTGATTGTGAGTATTTTAAAGGGGCCTACTTCGTCTGCCTTGGTACATGATTGCTTAGTTGAAAGTCATTGTAGACCACATCAGAGTAAAGCCCATTAAAAGGAACGATTAGGATTACTTTTACATACCAATGGTTTCTAAATTAACGGTAACTACTCGGGGAGAAAGACTTAATATCATTATGGACAGTTCAAGGAAAACTTCTGCTCACTGCAGTTGTGGTTTTCAGAAAACAAAAAACCAAACCCACCAAGATGCTGTTTGTAAGATGCTTTTAAAAATGTGTGTATGGGGGGAAGGGAGGGGAGGGGTATAAAAAAAAATTACCCTGGATTATTAGGAAGCCAGTGGACTACTTTGCTTGGCACACCTCTTAAAAAGGGGCATAGAAAGTTAAATAAATGTATTGGATACCTGACATACTTCTTTAGGACATGAGATTAAATTGAATAGGACCACGTAGTTCAGAGAAGAGCTGTGACTTAAGATATGTAGTCTAGTGAATAGTACCAAGGTGGTTTTTTGAGCACGACTCTTTATGATATAGGGACCACGGAATGCTCCATCAAATGTAAGAATGATAAAGCAACTATATATTATATGCTACGTGGTTAATCTAGGGAAGTCTGGGAGAGTCTAAAAATGTTGGGAATTTGTAGAGAACAACTATTGTAGCATCCTCAGGCACAATGAACTGATCTCATTGCAGAAGCTGCTTAGCACCTGAGGAACAGGAGCTCAGCGATGAGGAGATGAATCCCAGCTATGACAGAAAGTTCAGGAAACAGTTAAGTATGTACATGTTTCCTCCTGCATGTCAGGCAGGAGCAGCAAGGAGGCAGCAAACAAGTTCTCTCATCACATTTTTTTGTTTTTACACATCCTACTGGTAGGCAGTGATGAGACTAAGGAAGCAGCAGTACCTCTCTGACTCAAAGTGGTGCAGGTGACCTGTGCCAGTGTTTCAAGGTGGCTGGTGGGTTTCCATCAACCATGTCCCCTTTTGTTTCCCTCCCCCACTCTTAAATTCTGTCCCTCTGAGATTAGATGCCTGTAATTAGCCCAAACTATTTGCTTGTTCAACTCATGTAGGTGGTATGACTACTGCTGTGGCAGTGAGCTTGCTTCACACTAAGAGGAATCTGTGCACTTCCTAACAGTTTCTCCTGGCTAGTTCCTGATGAGTATTATAGCGAGGGAAAACTCAATGTTTTCTTCCTCTTCATTATTCAGAGATCAGCCCTCAGACAGGAAGCAGAGAAGATCATCATCTTTAGAAAACCTGGAGCACCAGGTGAGAAGAGAGAGAGAGTGCAGAAGGCTTTGTGTTTTGGAGATGGTTCAGAGAGCAGGGAATCCTATTGTGTGCTGCTGGGGATGGCAGCATCTCTGCTCAGTCCCTTTATTGTTCTCATTTCTGCCATCTGTTGTGGGAGGAGATGACACAAGGATCAAAAAGCATTGGATGAAACGAGAAGAAAATTTATCGATGTACAGCTTGGAGATACAAACACCAGAGCAACACTGACATCAGATGTTAACAATGTGACAGGGCTCAGGACATCTACAACCCCCGTGCACCACTCTTTGCCCCAAATCCTGCCTTGTCAAAGGGGCTTGATTTTAACCCCCTCAGTAGACGAGGGCCTGGTATCCTGGGGTTGCAGGGCTGGTTTTGTTTGGCCCTCTTCCCCACTTCCAGGCTTACTGGTTATGTAAAGACTGATGTTTTGAATTTTCAGGAGCACTGTCTTTCGGACATGGCTGCCCAGGATGGGTTCTCCAGGCAGCTCTGGATGTTGCAGCATGTGATCAGGTTGGCCGTCCTTTAGGGGCAGTTCCCTCCCAATAATCACCATGGTATTAAAACATCTTCCTGCGGCCCTCCATTCCCAGCTTAGTCTTTTTGCATGCTCTTTTTCTAAAGGTACCTTCATGTCGCATGCTAGACTAGCCTTTCCTGATCCATTGGGAGGGACAAACCTGGCGAGGACAGGGGAACTTCTCACCCCCACCTTCTCTTTTCCTTGGGAGGTGACTCCCAATAAACATGCCTATCCCAAAGTACGTAAGTAGATGAGGCTTGATCACTGTACAAGGCATTCAGTCTGTTTTGAGCCTAGGAAGTCTTTGGGTAGTTACTCTGTCCTCACTCATGTTTGTTATCTCTTCTTGCAATAGTGGCATCAGTTCCTCTGCTGTCCCCTTATTCATTCATGTTTCTTTCATGACATGGTCATCCCACCATATTGCCAGATGCATGTCTGTTTGTGTATGTGTAGAAAGAAAGTCAGTTTGTCTCTTGCATGTGTCCCTGTGTAACAAGCATGGAAGTTCTCTTAAAGTGCTAGGAAGTACCTCATATCCTGGCTTCAAGAAGCTAAAGCACCATCCCCCAAACTGAGAGAACCAAACTCTGTCATCCCTAAACAGTAACTAGTCCCACCTGTTAAATTGACAGTGGGGGAGGAAGGAGAGAGGAATTCTCTTTTAGGTCACTGACTGTGAAGCTGTTTGGTTCAGTCCTTGGCTGATAATGGCAAGAAAGACCAGATTCAAGATCCAGCTAGCAGAGCCCTCTGAAATGGTCACCACTAGGGGGAGATTCAGGGTCATGCACTGGTGTGTGCGTGTTGGTGAATGGGGAAGGATCTGGTGTGTGCGTGTTGGTGAATGGGGAAGGATCTCTAATTGCTGGGGGGGGTGTGGAATGGGGAAGGAGCTCTAATTGCTAGAGGCAATGGGGATTTCTTTTCAGTTGGCTGAACCTTAAGCATGGGAACCACTGAGGGGACCTGGTATAATCCCTGACTAGTGAGACCTGCTGAGAAGGGGGCTCAAGTTGAATCATCAAGTGGCCTCCTCTGTTGCTTTCAGTTTGGTTAAATATCTGTGTCCAAAACTGCAACTGTCTTGTGAGAGAAGGCCTTGGTCTTAGGATGTTCCCTTCCTTCCAGGTGTCATCCCCTGCTTCAGAGCCCTCTCCTGCTGAGAATGACCGTATCATAAGTTCTGTGAAACAGGAGCCTGAGGAAGAGGCCACTGATGGGATTGCTGGCTCTAACACGCCTCCACCTGCTCTGGAAAAGTTCAGTTCTGTGCATTGGACCATTGGGCCACTAAAGCGAAACATGTTGCAAACTGGAGGGTAGGTGGTAGGGTGCAAATTGCTGCGCTCTTGTCAGTTATGCATCTTCTCTGACTCTGGGGCCGAGCCTGCTTGCTCCTGGAGAGGAAGAGCATGGGATGGAGTGGGAAAGGGTGAACTGAGAATCTGATCAAAACGGGTGTCTGTTGGAGCCAGCAGATTTGCCTCTGTTCCTCTGCATGTCTTTTTAACTAGATGTTCGGAACAGTTCAGCTGCTCTACTGCTTTGCCGGCATTGAAATAGGAACATGCAGGACTGATAAATGAATTCTACAGTTCTCTGTTTTAATTGTGGCTCCAACCAGTGTTACTGTATTCCCTGTCAAACTGTCAGTGCTGTTCTCTTAGAGCAGCACTCGCTGGTTCCCAGGTGGGACATTGGTGGAAGAGATGTATGGCAGCAGTGTGTGCAAGGAGTTTGCTTATTTCCCTACTGGGTACCTGTACTAGGCACATCTCTGCTTCTCTAGCTTCTCCCCAGTAGTATCCATACAGCCCACCCTTAACTGCTAAAAGGCCAAAAGTTGGAATGTTGCTGTCAAACATGTTGCAAGGTGTGTGGGTGGTTGTGTTTTAGATGTTTGTTTTTTAGTTTATAAGCAGACAAGGTTCTTTAGGTAAATGTGATATCTTTTATTGGACCAACTAAATTTTGGCACATGAATTGATCCTTGACCTTTTAAACTTCAGACAAGGAGAGAAGAGCAGTGAGAATAGTGGAAGGGTCACCTTTATGTACAGTCAGCCTTGAGCTGAATTTCTGTTGGATGTCCTTTGTGCTATGCTAGTTGATTCTCTGCCATTTCCTTGGGTTAGGGGAATGCACTTCCTATCATCAGATTGAGATAGGAAATTCAGCAAAACCTATGAAGTCGCCTCTCGTAAGAAGCCAGGTTCTAGCTGAGGAATCCAGTCCATTTCTGGTAACTGACAGGTGGACAGTTCTTTTTGGCCAAGAGAAGCTTCTTGGGGAAATATGAATTACACTCTGGGTTTTTAGGTGTGTTTTTTCCCTTCCTGTATCTTGTCCTGGTGTTGCCTGCATCATACTGGTAGTCAGTCAGTGAACTGAAGTTTACATTCATTTGAGTGATGTAGTATACCACTCTATCCACTTGGTGGTGCAGTTTGTCCACATTTCTGTAAGACTGCCTGGGGAGAAGAGCATTTTGTGGTGGTCACTTGTTTGCTTTCCTAGTTAAATGATAGCTGATCAGTGAAGTATTGGTAATTAACATGCAGCTATCTTATTGCCAACTTCTAATTCAACCCTGAAGGAACTTGGAAATATGGGATGCCTCTTCTCCATCTGAAATAATCGCTGTAGTTGCCTCTGCAGATGGGAGAGAGGTGTGCAGGAGAATCTCGGTATTAAAACACATTTTGTGCTATGAAAAGCTTGAGAACTTCTAGAGTAGATGGTGAAACCTGCTGATGGACTAGATGGTGATAGTAACATTAGACCCCTCATTTCCTAAAGACTTTGCTAGGCAGCATGGGAATAGGGGGAATACTTAGTTTGCCAAGCAAACAGGGTGTTTTTAAGCCTCCCTCAGAGGCATTGGGTGCTGGCTACAGCTAAGGCTGGGAGCTTTGAGTGAGGTGTGCCAACATTCCTGGCTAGGTCTTGTTCCTCCTCTCAGGGTCAGACTGATTGCCATATTTGGGGGTTAGGAAGGAATTTTACTCCATGGTCAGATTGGTATGGACTGTGGGGGTTTTTGCATTCCTCTGTAGCAGGGGACATGGCCCTCTACCCAGGATCTTGAGCACATATTAAGAACACTTCATAGAAGCAGGACATTGACTGCTGTGGTTCCCCTATTTTACCTGTGGCAAGTTAGGGTGTTATGTCTGTGTTGTCAGGGTTGATAGTAGTCTTACGTAGAGTTTAGATTATGGATTGTCCTGCCTCAGGCAGGGAGTTAACTAAAATGACCTCTGGAGGTCCCTTCTTGCTTTACATTTCTCTGACTCTCAATTTCTATGATTTCTGGGCTGAAAGTAAAGGCTAACTTTTGAGTGACAGAGTACCACAAAATTCAGGAAGGCAGAATGGAATGAACCAGACTGGAGTTTGGTCAGGACAGTGGTCTCTTACTCGAAAGGAATGTCAAAGTCACAGTGTTTGTTATCCATACAGAAGAAGAGACAATAATGCCCTAGCTGAGTTGTATTTAGCCTGGTGGAAGTTGGATCAAACACTGGCAAGGACTTGTGATAAAGTAACAGGCTTAGAGGAGTAGTCCACAGAGCTGCTTCTGTCCTGGTACTGCAACATCCTCCTGTTCCTCTCCATTTCCACCATCTAAACTCTGGTCCATGTCCCAGTGTCATTTTGCTTCAGCTATGAAAGCTGCTGCTTGTCTCCTCCCTGAACTCTTGACTTGCTGCACTGATGCACAGACTTTTCAAAATGCTGCCATCTCTGACCATGTCTCGTGTCTTTGCGACAGATCTCATCACTGGCTTCCCTTTGCTTTCAAGGCTCAGCATGACACTTGGTCCCTGTCTATCTCTCTCTTTCTTACCTCTGCCTTCTATTTGGAGTTCTTTCTTTGAGCTAGTGTACCAGTATTTCACTTTTGTTTCTACCTGCTCTTTTCAGAGGCTTTGAGCTCAGTGCTTTTCTTGCAAGATCTGCGAAAAGATAGGATTGGAGATCCTTAATATCCTACAGTTAACAAATCTTAGTGAATCTGAGTGCTTTGGTCTCTCACCTTCTCTGTCCTTCATTTGTTGGCTGCCAGGCTGGCACTGTACAAACTACAATGAAAACTACATGAGAGATCACCTCCACAGTGTGAAAAGTTTTGTTTGTTCATGGATCTGTCAGGAGCCTTTGCATGTGTACCTGTCATATCAGTTTGGATGACTGGTGGGAACTGGACTGAGTCTCTGGGGTTAAGAATGAGTTTGCATCCAAATGCAAACCTCTGACAAATTAGACTTAAAGAGGGTAGCAAACACTCCAGGAGAAAGTTTTGCATCTGATCCTACCTGGAAGGATCTGGAGCGGTATGGCACTGAAGCAATGAGAGAGCCCTGGTTTAAAAAAACAACAAAAAGAAAAGAATGTGGAGTCTAACACTTGGAACAAAAGTAAACAGCTCAAAGATCAGATAAAAGGGACATAGACAAGCAACCATTCCTCTCGTGGTAGATGAGCAGTGTATTTTTCCAGGTAGAAGCTGTGTTCTGGTTTCAGTTGGTGTGGGTGGGAGTCAGCCATCCAACTCCCTGGTTTGTATGGATTACATTTGGGATTGGGTATTTTAAGAGGGCTGTTTCCTGTTTCTTAAATTGATGTTATATTAAAAACAAACAAACAAAAGACCTTTCCATTCTAGGACCCTGGGGGAATGCATTCTAGTGGGTTGAGTTTGGGGAGGAGCAGGGGCCTGAGACTTGAGCTCCAGTCCCAACTCTACTGCTGATTCTGGCTTTGGCAGGTTCCTTGCGTGTAAAATGAGGATCACGACAGGATCTCAGGGTTGTGGTTCAGTGTGAAGATTCTTTAGCATCTGTATAGTGCTTTAAAAGTAAAGCTTACCACTAACATGGCACTAGGACAACCTACAGCAGCACCAGTATCCAGTATTTCTGTGGGACCTCTCTATCCTCCTAATGCACCTGACCTGTGTGGAGAGGAAAAAGGAGAGGGATGTTGATCCCAACCACTGTAGGCGATCAGAATTACCCCACAAAGTACTAGCTTGCTCAGTATGATGGGGTAGCAGCATATTGCTGCTGTGCAGGAGTGTTCAAGCTGGCTGACTTACTCTTCTCTTTCACAGCAAGCACAAGCTGTCTGTGGAAGAAGAGCTGCTGGAAAAGCGGAGACGATACCAGGAACAGATTGAATCTTCCCCCCCAGATCTTACTAGTCCCAGTCCCCCCATTTCTCCTCTTCAAAAGGTTTCCACTAAAGCAAAACAAGATGACTGCTACAAGTCCAACATCAAGGGGGATGTGAGTGTGACTGAGAGCATGTGCCCCTGCCTTTCCAGAGACCAGGAGGATGTATCCAGTGGCACCAGCGATGTTGGGAATCTCTGCCCCAATGACAGATCTCCAGCACCTGACAGTCCCGTAGCAGGTGTTAAAAAGGAAATGGCTGTTGTTCAGGGGGACCTGCAAGAGCAAATGCCAAACTTAGTAGCAGAAAGCCAGGCAGCAGGTGGAAGTGTTTGTGTAAATATGTATGGTAGCATGGGGGAAATGGACAAGAGGCCCTTTGTGGCTGTTGTGGGCATTTCAAAGACTGCTGCAGAAAGTGGAGCTCCCATTCAGCTGATCCCTTTGGTGTGGGAAGAGAGACTTGACAGACCAAAGGCTGAGGAAAAGGCTTTGAACTCCAATGATCCTCCCCCTGAAGGGGACAGAGATAGAGGAGATTTACAGGAATTGACAACTGTGGATCAGAAAGACACAGTGAAGCAGCAAGAACTGAGAAGAGCTGTGGAGAATGTCTCGGTGGTACTAAAGAGTGTCTCAGCTGAACGGGATTTGCTCCAGTACAAGGTAACTTTACCTCCAGGCTGTGAGTTCCAGTAGGGCAGGTAAGTCCCAACAGGGAATTGGATGGGGAGGATAAATTCCCACTTCTTACCTTCTGCTGTGAGGGAGGTAATGGTTGGGCTTCCTTCTGTACTCCACCTGGTTATCTGCTTTCACTTTGTCACTTGCATGCTGTCTATGTATCTTCACTTCCTGTTTCTTTAACTCAGGTGGAGAAACTGGAGCAGGAGAAGTGCAACCTAAGGGCAGACTTACTAAAAAGCCGACAAGAATTAGCATCCCTCAGAGCCCAGGATACTGAAGGCTTATACTGGAGCAAGAAACACATGGGTTACCGTCAGGCTGAGCTCCAGGAGCTGAAAGCAGAACTGGAGAGGACCACAGAGGAGAAGACTGAGCTAAAGGAGAGACTCAGGGAGGCGGAGATGCACCTGGAAGTGCTGAAGGAGGTGCATGTTTCCTCCAGGAGTCCAGAAAGGGGAGACTCGAAAAGGTTAGAAATGTGAGTTAACCTGTGGATGATATCAAGGTGACCATGGGGGAGAATGTGGATTGATATTATCTAGGAAAATGGCTTCTAGGAGTGCCTAAAGTTGAGGACCTGAAGATACTGTGTGAGTGACAGTGGATCAAAATGTAAGGGTTCATATGTTGTACAGGGCAGGGGATTACTGAATCCAAGAAACTGCCCAGGCTGGATGGGCAGCTCACACAGAGTCCCTTTTTCCCGTTCTGGGTTCTGTTCTGCAGGACATTGACGGTACAGATCATTCCTATTTCATTTACGCAATATTGGCTGCTTTAAGGAGAGGAGACTATGTCATGAGAGAGAAATGCCGTGTAGGTACCAAACTCTTCTGCAAGCATGGGACCCTCCATTTTCATGATGATCTGACCTGTTGGTCAGGCCTGTATTTTGATAAAACCTGTGTTCAGGGAAAAAACCTAATTTTTTGGGTTTCTTCCGAGACATGGACCCTCGGTGTGGAAAGTGTATACTCTTGCCCCATGTTCTGGAGTAAATGGCTGTGTTGAGAGGAAGGTTGACAGGAAGCTTATTGCAGAGCTGGCACCAGAGTTGCATCTGCCTTATTTCTGGTGCTGTATGTTGGCCCCCAGAACCTCCTCTCAGATCATTCCCAGGGCAACACTGTCTTTGGGATGGAGCTGAGAACCCCAGCTAAGGGAATTTGTTTTAGGAAAAAGGAGTTGTATTGGCACCAGTGCTTGTGTCTCTGATGTCTGTCTCTTGGCTTTGCTTTCACCTACAGCACTATGGAGAAGCTTAAGAACTTGCGTCTGAACATCACTCGGCTCCTCTCGCTAGTACTCCCTCACCTGGAGCTGCAGGATATTAACTTCGAGTCAGATCAAGTGGATGAGATCTTGCAGACTGTGCTGGAGACAAACCGCATGTCAGAGTAGCTCATCCTACACACTGCCATTGTGCCTTTTTGTACAGCAGCTTTAATAAACCCAGAATTTCTGTTCCCACTCTGGATCTTCCCTTCATTTTAGTAACAGTGAGGGCTTCCTTTTTCATTTCCTCCTTATGGCTCTGTAGGCTTTATAGCAGGAATTTCTGGAGATCAAATTTCACCCTCCTCGTATACTAGACAGACTATTTTATTTTATTTAAAACTGCTTTGGGGATTTACTAGCTGATTTCTGGAAAGTCTTGTTTCTGGATGGCTGTTCTGTCTTACACATTGCATTGTTTGTGGTAAATAATGGCAGGAGACCAGATTCCCTGAACTAATTTTATCTTTCCAAGTTGCTATGGGGACACCTGGTGACACAATGGCATTGTCCTGGTGTTAGTTTCACTGAAGAGTTTTGGAACCGTGTTGATTTAATGATTTGATTCTTTCAGCAGATGGTGCTTTGTGTAAGACCCACCTATTTGCCCAAACTGTCCTTTACGTACATCTCATGTATTCCTCCTTATCCTCACATCCATGAAAGAGACAGCTTCAAAACCTGCCTTGTGTTATTTCTTACCCTCTTGGATTTGTTGTTGTCATTGTTTTTTAGCAAGAAATACAGACACTGTTTTGGTGAATGTTAGTACCCAGAGAGGCGTCTTGCAGTTACAAGCCCTTTAAAAATATACAATTATTTTCCTACTTAGAAACAAATTCTTCTATTCTGGTAAAAGAGAAGGACATCCTCACATGTAGTAAGAGGTAATTGGCCAGGCATAACATTGCTGCTTTGACTTGATTTAGATCATGGGCTAGTTTATCCCTCAGAAAGCATTTGTCCAGTGCGCCCGTCTAGTTTAATATAGGCGCTCTGTAGTGGCCTTGGAGTGCACGCCCAGTCCAGGCCTCAGGGCATGTCCCCGAGACTTGGGTGTTGGACTGCATTCTACCCCAAGGGAGGCCCTGACACTTGCCTGCCATGACTTGATTTTTTGTTCAGTAGTAGCAGGACTCTCCCTCATGGAAACTCGCAGACTGGGCACTGCCCCTTGCAGGCGTTCTTGGAGCTCCACCTTCCCTACACCCCAGCCATACTCCAGCTTTCAGAACGACCAGGTGATGGGTCACCAGATTGCTTCTTTGATGTCCACTCCTGCTCTGGCTCCCTCTTGCCCGTCCCTCAGTATCTGTCTTCACCCCAGGTGTCTATGGGGTATGGGACTGGCCCTATCTCGACCTCCGCCTTAGTGAATTTGACGGCTCGGAGATGGGGCTGAGGTGGCCTCTACTCTTTTTCTTGACCCTCCGGGTCAATTGTGGACGCTTCCCCGGTTTGGGCTTCAATCAAGAAACCAAAGGAAAATAAGAAAAGAAAGAAACAGCAGGTGTCTGGGCCACAGCCTGCCCCACTCACGTGTCCAGCGTTTGTAGTCGTCTGGATCCCTCGATGCCATCCTCCTTGTCCCGGCTGTCCTGTTGAGCCGGGCGTTTACCCTTTTAAGAGGTTTGGAACCCTTCTGGTGAGCCGATCTCCTGACGTGACGATCCTGGAGCCCGGGGGACAATGTCACCCTCTCCCCTGGGTCTTGCTGCTGCCCCCATTGCTTCCCCACCACTGGCTTTTAAATCTGCCAGGCAGCAGTTTTTGGTGATGTCACCCACCGGCGCTGCTTCCAGCCACAAATAAAAGCAGCTGATGAACTGCGCCGGCGGTTCTTCTCGGCACGGCGCATTTTCTCCTGTTGGAGACAAGTAAGCCCCTTTCTTAGAGCTTTTAGTTTTCTTTTCCTGGGGTTTTGCCTCAGCTGTTGCCATGGGAGGTGTTCCCTGGGGTTCCGTTTGTATCCCCCTGGAACACCCAGACTTATGAAACCAGCATTCTAATAGGTGGTAGCAAATGTCTGAAATTTGGTCCTGGAATTATACCACTTGAGGCTGTAAATGTGTCAGATCGTACCAAATCATGTCAAGGCAGGTCAGTATTAGACTGTGCAGACACAAATGTATTTGCATACAACCATCCAAATCTAATGTTTTTTTCCTCTTGTGCTATTGTCTTTCCAAGTTAGATAATATCAGTATACTTCCATGTCTTTTTACCTTGTTCCACTGCCTTTGTTGTTTTCTCTTCCTTCTTTTCAGGTACAGCTGCAAAACAAAGATAAGTTTTAAGTAAGATTTCTGGCCAGAAGTGCTGTTCCTACCAACAAAGCTTCTCTCTAGTAATTCAGTATCTAAAGATTACCTGAAG